CACCCTACCCCCCCCCCCCCCACCAAAACCCCCTCCCCCCCAGCCGCGAAAGAATGAAAAACGTAAGAAAGAAGACGTAAATACATTTTTTTACATTTCTCATCTTTGTTCGATGTCTATTGGCAGATACTAAATAGAAATAAAAGACGAAACGATTAGTGGCATAAGAGAGTATTTCATGTGCTTCTTTGATCCGTAGTACGTGTTCTCCGAAAGTGTAAGATAAAGGAATGATAGTCTTTCACAAAATGCGTTTACGAAAATGAATTTTACAAACTAGAGTAGAGCTCATACCACCGCTATTTGCGGGCGTAGAGGACCTATTCTCTTAAAAGGTGGTTCAAAAAAGGGAGGAAGAGCGATTCGAAGCTTTTCGTGAAACTAACTCATTCTTTATCTAAAAGGCCGTCATCACCGTACTTTTAAATTAGAAAAAGAATGAGGTGTACTGTAGCTCATTCTTTTTCATGTCATGACAATTCTCGTCTTGCTCCGAAAATTTTTCGAGATTTTTTCAGCATAGGAACTACTTAGTAGGATCTATAATTTTGCCCATACAATTATCCTCGGCACTTTTCATTTTTCACCCTCAGTTTTCCAGAAAACCCGTTAAAACCTTACTTCATGAAAATTGAGCTATTATGACTATATATTCTTGTTTAGCATAAAGAATTCAATGTACTTCAACGTTTTCTGAGGCTTCTTTATGTTTCCGTACCGCAGTTTTCTAAGAGGATTTCTGGACAACTCAGGGTGAAAAATGGAAAGTGCCGAGGATAGTTGTATGAGCAAAATTATAGATCCTACTAAGTAGTTCCTATGCTGAAAAATCTCGAAAAATTTTCGGAGCGTTTAAGAGAAATCAAGGTCAAACTTCAGGAATTTTTCAAGTAAATTGAGTATCACTCGAATGTAAAGTTAAATCAAGACCGAACTCCTTCACCATTAGAATCAACTTGTTAACTTTGTTTGATGTATAATTATGCAATGTTTCGTTCATTTTCACCGACTTTGGTTTCACTCTCACCAAAAACTTGATGTGTCTAGAAAACTACTTTCCACACTTTTTTTCAGAAAAGCGTAAGCGAGACCTTTAGATTATTTTTGATGCTCTACAGGATGGACAAGGTGAAATTTTCGCGGCAAGATGCTCTGTATAAAGTAGGCAGACCTGCGCAGAGGGACCGATCTTACATGAGAGATTTGTGAATGAAGAAATGGATTTAGTGAACAAGAGGTTAAAGTCAAAGCAATGCCATTTATTTTAGCTAGTGACGAACTGCGGGAAATCGGATTTCCTTTTCTGAAAATACGAGTTTTTTCGTTTAGTCACTAAAACCGCAACAACATCCACATCAACAACCTCAACATCAACAACTGCAACAACAACAACAACATCAACTAGTGTGTTGTGATTAGGCTTATAAAATGACTAAAGTTGTTTATGGCTTTTCATTTCAGCATCGAGTAGTACATCAACTACAAGTTCAACTAGTAGCACAAGTATTTTTTTCTACGAAGAAATCTTTTCGATACAGTAATACACATCCAAAATAAATTTAATTCAATTTTTTAGCTCGCACAACTAGTACATCAACAACATCGAGTACATCATCTACAACTTCAACAAGTAAGTTACAGTCTCATTTGTACTGTAAAGAAAACAAACAGTCAGTGCTTTTCTACACACAATTTACGGAGGATATACCAGCATTAGAGATTTCCGAGCTCGTCTTTATATAGATTTACTAGGCAAACAATTACCTCAAATAAGAGTCGAAGAACTTCAAGGAATAATACAGAAAATTGTAAAAAGATGACGAGAGTCAGGGACGTTTTTGTCATTTGACAGACACGAGTATCGAACATTCATCATAAATGCAAGTCATCATGGTGATTATGGAAAGTACCAAGGATTCCATGTAAAATTATATTATTTTAACATTAATATACAATAGTTTTTGTTTTTATTTCATAAAAGGTGTTTCAACGACGACCGCTACAACAGCTACAACAACCAGTTAGTTTTTTCATAAGGCTTTCATCACAAAAATCTAAATGACTGCGATCTGTTCTCATTTTTAGCTCAAACAACCACAACAGGTGATGAAATAGACACCCTAGTAAAGCTTTTTTCTCAAACACATACCTAAAGATTTGTCTTCATGCACATGAATTTGTTACCCGTGCAACTCGCTTGAAGTATGTGCTTGACTTTCTTGTCTCATGCGCTTGAGTTTCTTGAAGTATGCGCATGAGGGGAGAAATATTTAAAACAATGTGCATGCCTCCAGAAAGTTTTGTGCATACCTCAAGAAGCTCATGTGCGTACCTTAAGAAAGTCATGTATTATTAATTTTCCGCTTAGTAAATAGCTCTAGTTTCGTCTTTTAGACTTGATTACGCCATGTTTTACTCGAACTTTTCTTCGAGAACATGATGCAATCAGTTATTTTAGTCTTTCTCGACCGTCTGGCACTCTCACCATGCGATAATCTTTATCTACAAAGGAAAAGAAGTCATTTTCATGAAAAGCTCATGACAGTTCAAAGTAAGTACACAGCAATTTTGACTTTCTACTATTCACTCCACCCTTTAAAATCATCATGTTATCTTTTGTTACACTGTTGAATGTAATTTTTGGATAATCTGTGATGTGTTTGCTTGAGAAAATTTCCTCACCAAATTGACTAAGTTCACTCCGCGTTGTATTTCTCGGTTTGGGTTCGACATGTGACTGAAATTTGATCTCCAAATAAAAGTGAGAAAGGTTGATGTCTTTTAAGCTTCGCCTGTCAGTTTTAACGATAGGGTAACATTTACCGTATGTGAAGAAAACATTCACGCTTGAACTTTCAAAGAAGCGTATTCGTAAATACTAGACGCTAATGTCAATTCGTTGCTAGAGCCAATCTGGCATCCTGCGAATGAGGCGGTATAGCTTGGCATCCAATCCTCTGATACAGGACCAAACTGGTACTTGCTACATCCGAACGAATCAAAATTTTGAATTTCTTCGATCAAAGCAGGTCGAAAAGACAAGAAAGAGAAAAGTTTATCTCAAGAATGTCAAGCGCATGAGATATTCAAGCGCTTGAGATAAGGATCCCATGTGCATGAGTTTCTTGAGATACGAAACTTAAGCACAGGAGTCCAGAAAGTCAAGCGCATGACATCGGAAAAAAATACGTTTTGCATGGGTAAGAAATGTCTCCACGCCATGAGATTCTTACTCAAGAAATTTAAAAACGTCATGTGCTTGAGAAAAAAAGCTTCACTAGGATAGCGAACACTCAATCGGAATATTTACTTTCGTACTTGTTTTCTATAGCTCCAAGCTGTGGTGTTGGATTTTTCTCAGGCGCTATTCTTTCGCTCAATGTTGGAAATGCTCCGTTTGGTGATTATACAAACTACACATTCTCTTATATAGCGACCGGAACAACGACAACACTCCAGTTTATATTTCATGGTGATTTTAAAGGGTGGAGTGAATAGTAGAAAGTCAAAATTGCTGTGTACTTACTTTGAACTGTCATGAGCTTTTC